ATCTCAGCATTTGGCGGCAGCTATACCGTCACGACCTGTGTACTGTATATATATGATATAAGTAAATATATGTACATATGTGTGGGTCCCTCACCGAGCGCGCTCCACTACTCGCAAAGTGCCTACTCTAAAATGTTCGCAACATATGTGGTTGTCTCGATGTAATATACATTCATCTGCGGCCCTGTCTTGATATTGCACGTGTAGAGTCAAGTTCCTCCTCCTCCTCCTGGGCAACGGTCGCAGCAGCGCGAGTGACCACACTCATGGGCGGGTGGATTGGGTAGGACGGGCGAGGCCAGAATGCATCCTCCCCTGGCCGCCGCCACGGGATGTCGCAAGCTCCCCCGCGCCTGGTGGAAGCCTCAGCGCGACCTTCGGCCCCTCTCTGGGGGGGGCCCTTCGTCAAGGGAGGGAAAACCACCCGGACCGGGCAATTGGCGTTTATCGGGGGCGGCAAAGAGGGGGGTGATGACTAGGGGGGGTGGATATCATGGCGTGGGCCATGATATTTCCCAGGATTTCAGGGCGCCTCTTCTTATTTCATTACGTTCCTGGCCCCCCCGCTGGGCCGCGCACATGCCGCCGGTCATGATTTGCACCCCCCCTCTTGGACACCCCCCTCTTGGCCGCTCCCGAGTTTACGAAAGGGCCCCGGGCGTTTTTTTAGAACCTTGCCCTGTTCGATCCCCTCCCTGGGTGCGTTTACCGAAACTCTCTCGCTTGTCGGGGTGGCCTATGATGGGGGTGGATGTATTGCCTTCTACTTCGCCCACCTCGGCAAGCGAGGGCCCCTCGCAGGGTCCCTCTCTGGGGGGCCCTCTCTGGGGGGCCCTTCGCCCACCCTCGGCAAAAGCGAGGGTCACTTGGGCTGGAGATGGAGGGCTGTGCCCTTGGGGTGGTTCTGCGGGCACGGGGGAGGCCTCTGCGCCAGCCCACCCAGTGCAGGAGGGGAAAAGAAAACACAGACACAATGCATCGTAAATTTCCTGAGGAAGATGCGGGAAAATATGGGAAGTGGGGGGGAAGACAAAGACCCAAGAAATATGGTAACCTATGTAGAATCCTGGGATTTGTGTGTATTTCCCAACCTTCCTGTGTTGGATTCTCGTTTTGAATAGAGCAGTGTGGTCGCCCCGTCCTTCCTCCTTCCTACTCCCCTCTCCTCCCCTCCTCTCCTGTTTCCTGCGCTCCACCACAATAGCTCGCGGTGCTCTGGGGGGCTGCGATCTGCGAAACCGTCGGCACTTTCGTGGGCTCCTGGGAGGCCCAGCGGAGGTACGTCATACGCGGACCACCACTATAGCTCGCGGTGCCCTGGGGGGCTGCGATCTGCGAAACCGTCGGCACTTTCGTGGGCTCCTGGGAGGCCCAGCGGAGGTACGTCATACGCGGACCACCACCATAGCTCGCGGTGCCCTGGGGGGCTGCGATCTGCGAAACCGTCGGCACTTTCGTGGGCTCCTGGGAGGCCCAGCGGAGGTACGTCATACACTGCCACCACAAGCGCCCTTTGCGTGTCCGTTTTGTATTTTCGCCGCTGTTCTTGTTGCTGCGCTCTTCTGAAATCACTGCTGGGTGCTCTTCTTGCGCACTGCGAGTCCTCCAGAATGCCGGGTTGGGTACGTCGCAGAGTATGTTTTGCGTGTATGTGTGTATGTGTGTGCGTGTGTGTGTGCGTGTGCGTGTGAGTGTGTGTGTGTGTGTGTGCGTGTGTGGGTGTGTGCGTGTGTGCGTGTGTGCGTGTGTGCGTGTGTTTGTGTGTGTGCGCGCCTGTGCGCGTGTGCGTCTGCGTGTGCGTGTGCGCGTGTTCGTGTGCGCGTGTGCGTGTGCGTGTGCATGTGCGCGTGCGTGTGCGTGTGCGCGTGCGCGTGCGTGTGCGTGTGCGTGTGCGTGTGCGTGCGTGTGCGTGCGCGTGCGCGTGCGTGTGCGTGTGCGCGTGCGCGTGCGTGTGCGTGTGCGTGTGCGCGTGCGTGTGGGCGTGCGTGTTCGTTTGCATGTGCGTCTGCGTGTGCGCGTGCGTGTGCGTGTGCGCGTGCGCGCGTGTGCGCGTGCGTGTGCGTGTGCGCGTGCGCGTGCGTGTGCGCGTCCGCGTGCGTGTGCGCGTGCGTGTGCGTGTGCGGTGCGTGTGCGCGTGCGTGTGCGTGTGCGCGTACGTGTGCGTGCGCTTGTGCTTGTGCGCGTGCGTGTGCGTGTGCGTGTGCGCGTGCGCACGCGTGTGTGTGCGTGTGTGCGTGTGTGCGTGTGTGCGTGTGCGCGTGCGTGTGCGCGTGCGCGTGCGCGTGCGTTTGCGTGTGCGTGCGTGTGCGTGTGCGCGTGCGCGTGCGTGTGCGTGCGTGTGCGTGTGCGTGTGTGTGCGTGTGCGTGTGCGTGTGCACGCGCGTGTGCGAAACGTGTGCGTGCGTGTGCGTGCGCGTGCGTGTGCGTGTGCGCGTGCGCATGCGTGTGCGCGTGCGTGTGCGTGTGCGTGTGCTGAAGCGTGTGCGCACGCGTGTGTGCACGCGTGTGTGCGTGTGTGCGTGTGCGTGTGTGCGCGTGCGTGCGTGTGCGTGTGTGTGCGTGTGCGTGTGCGCGTGCGCGTGCGTGCGTGTGCGTGTGCGTGTGCGTGTGCGTGTGCGCGTGCGTGTGCGCGTGCGTGTGCGTCTGCGTGTAACGTGTGCGCGTGCGCATGCGTGTGCGTGTGCGCGTGCGCATGCGTGTAACGTATGCGCGTGCGTGTGCGTGTACGTGTGCGTGTGCTCTTGCGCGTGCGCGTGCGCGTGCGTGTGCGCGTGCGCGTGCGTGTGCGTGTGCGTGTACGTGTGTGTGTGTGTGTGTGCGTGTGTGTGTGTATGTGTGCGTGTGTGTGTGTGTCTGTGTGTGTGTGTGTGTGTGTGCGTGTCTCCCTGGGCCCCTTTGCGGGGGAGGCGGGACAGGGCGGGGGCGCGCGCACGGCCCGCCCCGCCCCCGTACACCTCGAGCGCCTTAGGCAGAATCATGAATCGCGACGGAGGTTTCCGCCGTTTTCGGCAAGGAGGCCCCACCTTGGGCATGTCAGGGAACCGCCCAGGATGAGAGACCGGCCCTGAGGAAAGGGTCGGGCCTCTCAGGGCTCTAAAATTGGGACTCTTGTAGCGAGTATGGGGGTCTGCAGCGAGCTGGGGGGGGGGCGAAGGGGATATGGGTCATGATGCTTGACATGATGCCTGGGTTGACATGGCTGTGGGGAGCCGAAACGCGGTTGGTGGGACCAGAGGCTTTTGGCGCTCGGGCGTAGAACCCTGTCGTACGGCTCGAGGGCAGGGCAGCGATTGAGCAAAGCAAGGCATTGCTGGACTGCTCCCCCACAAGCCCCTCTGGTTTTGTCAAAGTACCATGTCCTGTCTCGGATTCGACCTTTCAGCTTGAACCTCATGCCCGATGGGGGAAGCTCCCGTGGGAATCGCATCCGAAGACTTCTATGGTTCAAGCCGGACCGTGGGAACGACCGGGGAGATTCCACAACGTGTTTTTGCCGCCGTTGCAGCTGGGCCCCGTTTGGGAAACCCTTTGGGGCCCATTCGGATCTCTCCACTGGGCCTGGGGCGTGGTCGGAAACCTCAGCGATCCCTCTCAATTTATTGGAGTAAGCGGTGTTACATCGGTCAGATGTGGGTTCCCCTGGGTTCTGTTCACGATGAGTTGCGCCGAGTGCACAGATACGTTCAGTGGTGCGCAGTTTATCTGCCTTCCGCCTCACGCATCGTATCCCTCACTGCCCGGGGAAGGAGGAGGAGGCGGCGGAAGGGAGGGCCGGGGAGGAGGATGGCGAGGACGAGGACCAGAGTACGCCCAGGATGCATCAACGATGTTGCAACGCAGCCTCCTGTTTCAAGCCCCCTCTTCGCAGGTGGATGTTTCCATAAGAAGAAGCGCTCCTCTGAAAGACAGTCACAATCTGAAAAGCGTGCGGGTCATGGAGCTCAACAAGGTGTCCTGCGAGAGCCTTGTTTTGAACAAAAGCCGCCCCTTATCCATGTAATTGTTGCGCAAGGTTACAAGGCTAGCCATGCATGTTGAACAACCCTCAAGCGAGATCCCCATGTTGAAAAAGAGCTGTTCCATCCTTGTTCGAGCGTGAAGCTTTCAACCTTGTGGAGATACCCAAGGATACGGTGATTGTCGCAAGCATGTTGCGACGAACGTGCGCGGCGTCAAGGCGAGAACTACACTTTGAATGTGAACCTCTCTCCCCTCCTCCCGTAGATTTAGAAGACGAGTGTGCGCAGCGATACGGCGAGAGCTCTTGATTTAATCAGGACCGCCCTCCATCCGTGTAGTCGCTGCAAGCATGTGAGCCAAATTCGCGCAGCATTGAGCCGAACAGATGTATTTTGAAAAGGGGCCGCCCTCTACCCTAGTAGCTGCACGTCTTTTAAGAAGAGTGCGCGCAGCATTGAGGCGAGAACACAAGTATGACATGGAACCGCCCCATCCGGTCCTGGTAGCCAGTGTTGGAGTAGTTTTACGCTTCACGTCTGTCCCGCCGTATCGTTTGCTTTTTGCGTTGCGACACGGGAGAGCTGAATGGATAAGGGATGGGAGGACATGGAGGGAGTGTTAGGTAAGGGATAGGAGAGGGGGAGAAGCAAAAGGAATGATATCATGGGAAGAACAGGAGGAAGAGGACGGGGAGGAGGAAGAAGAGGCAAGGATAGTGAGGCCAGGGAGGGACAAGGAGGGAAGGGAAGCGAGGTGATGATGACGATGATGATGAGGAGGAGGAGGAGGAAGAGGAGGAGAGGAGCAGAAGGCGAAGGAGGAAGACAAGAAGGAAAAACACAATTGCCAAGGGTAGGGCGGGGTCATGGGCAGGGCGTATTGTGGTACGGTGTGGCCTCTCGGAACTAAATTGGGTGGTAGGCAGGCAGCACGGGAAGAGCATTCGACGTTTGCGTATGTTTTGTTCGCGTCAATTGGTTGCTTATTCTCGCAGCCCGCAATGTCATCCGAGCTGATGCCCTCGGACAGGAATGTGGGCGATGCTGCCAGAACACGTGGCGGCGCAGAATCTTCTCGAGCTGCACCAGCTGTGGGCCAGCTACCCCCAACACGCGATAGAAGAGGTGGGAGGGGGGAGGAGGAGGAGGAGGAGGAGGAAGAGGAGGAGGAGGAGAAATAATAAGAAGAGTGGGGGGCTCAAGGGCGGCCTCACCCAGCCCTAGCACGCCAACCTACACGCCAGTCGTTGAAAGCATTTGTTTGATTTCCAGATTCCAGTATACTTCAGACGCCTTCCTACTCCAAGAATCGGATGTCCTTGCTGTGTGGTGTTCCCTACCTAGGCTCTGCCTAGAAGGGTTCTTACTCTCTGGGCTGAAAGGGGCCGGGCAGTGGAAAGCGCCCCGGGCGGTTTCCCCAGTATCCGCCCCGCGGTTCCCCCAGTTACGTCCCCTTAGCTTAGCGTTACTTATCTCATCTATGTCATCTTAGCTTAGCTTAGCTTCATCTTAGCTCAGGTTTATCTTAGCTTAGCTTACCCTCATCTTAGCTTCGCTGAGCTGTAGCATAGCAGAGCGCAGCATAGCATAGCGTAGCATAGCATAGCGCAGCATAGCATATCATACCATAGCCCAACATAGCATAGCATAGCATAGCGCAGCATAGCATAGCATAGCATAGCATAGCATAGCACAGCACAGCACAGCACAGCACAGCACAGCATAGCACAGCGCAGCATAGCATAGCATAGCATAACAGAGCATAGCATAGCATAGCATAGCATAGCAGCAAAGCAAAGGCAAAGCAACAGCAGCGACAACAAAGCAAAGCACAAGCAACGCAAAGCAAAGCAAAGCAACAGCAAAAGCAAAGCAAAGGAAAGGCAAAGCAACAGCAATGTGCGACAGATGCCGAGCTGGCCTCGATGGCCGAACGTGTAATCTGTCGCACATAATTGCCCCAGCATAGCAACTAGCATAGCATAGCGCAGCACAGCATAGCACAGTGCAGCGCAGCATAGCATGGCATAGCATAGCATAGCATAGCAACTAATGCTGCTTTCCTAGGGGCTCCAACTTCTAGGTGGGGTCGCACTGGGGTAATGTAATTCTCTGAGGGCCTGAACCCCGTCTATCTTACCCGCCTTACTACTTCAAAATTTCACCTGCTTCTTCCGACTGGCGTGTGCACTTCGTCCGGCCGACGTGTACCCTTCCGTGACGAACCCTCCTCCTCCCCTTCCTTCTCCTCTTCCTCCTCCTCCTCGTCCTCGTCCTCCTCCTCCTCCTCTTCCTCCTCCTCTTCCTCCTTTTCCTCCTCCTCCTCCTCCTACTCCTCCTCCTCCTTCCTTCATCCTCATCCTCCTCCTCGTCCTCGTCCTTCTCTTCGTCCTCCTTCCTGTTCCTCCTTCCCCTGCTTCGCTCCAAGCACCTCGTCGGGCGGCCGGACCAGGGAGCCTCGAGACGCGCGGGGCTCGTCGCGGAAGGGGCTCGTTATATGATGGGCCTGTCTTCCACCACCACCACCATCAGTTGAAGAAGGGAGGAAGGTGGAGAATGATGAGGAGGAGGAAGAAGACGAGGGGGAGGAGGACCGCCTCCGCCCTCCAACTTCTGGTGGTGGTGGTGGAAAACAGGCCCACCATTATACGGCAGGCGTCTGTCGGGCGTTGCGCCTGGGAGGGAGAGAAGGGAAAGAACAGGTGCAGCTCAACGAAGTGCCCAGTTTTGAGGAGTCCCCCCACCGTTTGTATAAGTGTGGCGCCGAGTTTGTCGAGATATGGCCCCTATCTCCCCTTCTCGTTCCTCCCATTCCTCCAATCCATACACCTTTCTTCGTTGGCTTTGCGTTTGCTGAGCCTGATGTACTGTAGCCGTTGTGGTTTCGAGTCCTTGTTGAGAGAGAAGCGGATTGTCAAGATGGCAGCGGAGCGCGGTTTGGGCGCAGCAATGAGCGTGGAGGCCCTAGCACAGGAGGTACTAGAGGCCAAGCGTGAGACCGGGAGGCTCCTCAAGCTGATCGAGAATCCGAATGCAACGATTGGCCAACTCTGACGGCAACGGCGACGGCGGAGACGGGCGCGGCCAGTCGGCAACGCCAAGACCAGATCATGGGTGCCCTGATTGGCGACAAGGGCAAGCGGCCGTCCTTCGACAATGTGAGGAAGCCTGGCTATTTCGATTGGAGTTTCAAGTTCAGGGCTTTCATAGGCAACCAGAGCACGAAGGCGCTGGAAGCATGAACTAGGTGGAGTATAGCCGGGGCGCGCCGAACTACGGCAACTACGACGACGAGTGGCGTCAGATGGCACACAACCTATACTTCATGCTCACGATGTACACTGAGGGCACGCCATCCGGCATCGTCAGGAAGGTTCGCAATCAGGACGGCTCCGAGGCGAATAGGAGGTTGAGCGACCAGTACGACCCGCAGAACATGGGTAGCATCCTCTCGCGGCTGATGAAGGCATTGTGGTTCGCCGGCTGGACCCAGACAAGTGGCAAGTGGGACCGACTGCCTGGCAAGTGCGGCGACTGGAAAGGCGGCAAATGTAGAGACTCAAAAGGCAAGGGTAAGGACTCGAAAGGCAAGGGCAAGGACAAAGGCGACAGGGGCGGCAAGGGTGACGGCAAGCAGAAGTTCCAGGGGCACTGCGGTCGACGCGGTAAGCGGGGCTACAAGCAGAAGGATTGCTACGCCAAGATCAACGAGGTGTACACGGGCGACTGGAGCAGCTGGAACGAGGGCTGGAACCAACGACTGGGGCAAGAGCTGGGGTGGCCAGCAGAGCCAGGGCCAGGGCGACCCCGCCCCAGCGCAGCCCAGCAAGGAGACCAGCACTACTGTGACAACGGCCGCGTCGGTTGAGTGCCAGGTGTGCGACGACGAGTCATCTTCGCAGTCTGAATGTACGACGGCTCCAAGGGCACTCGCGTGGGACAGGTGGTCGACGCGATGGTCGACGCGGGCGCGAATCGGTCGGTTCGCTGTCCACAGGACTTCCCAGACTACCCGATCATCCAGGACGCGAAGCTGGAGATCAAGGTCGCGAGCGGGGCGAAGATCAGACACTACGGCGACAAGCAGGGGAACCTGAAGACGGAGTCCGACGACGAGATCAATGTGAAGTTCCACGTGACAGATGCGACGAGGCCGATCCTGAGCGTGACCACTATCAATATAGCAGGTGCTGGAGTGGAGTCCCCGCCATCCAGCACGAGGAGCTCGGCTCCGATCGCGAGGGATTCGAGGAGCGGGCGAAAACGGCTTGGGCTGAATGAGGCGCTCGGGCTGTTCTTCCTGCGCGCGGCGGTCATGGCCCGCGCGGGGGCGACGCAAGGAGCGCGCGGCCTGGTCGTCAACGGCGCGGCCACGGACGACGCGACCCCGTCCTTGGCGCAGGAAGTCGACCAACCCATCGAGCCGGCTGCGAGGCCGGAGGCAAAAGCGGTGACAGCGCCGAGAGAACCCACGAAGGCGGAGAGGGAGGCCCACGAGGCCACCCATTGCCCACGCGGCGCGCGGACTGCGCGGCAGGGCGAGGGTTGCACCGATCGACGCGAGAGGATCACGGAGGTAGAAGGTGCGCCTGTGGCCCAGATCGACCACGCGTTCGGCAAGACGCGTCGCGACGAGAAGGTGCACCCAGTCATAAACGCGATAGATAACGAATACCACGTCACGGTTTCAGTTTGATGTGAGGCGAAGGGCAGTGGAGACACGTTTTTGGCCAAGTCCCTTAAGCGCCACGTGGAGAAGCTGGGGCGCGAGAAGGTGACCGCGCAGTGCGACCCCGAGAACGCGGCCAAGGATGCGGCGATCAAGGTTGCTCGGGATGTCGGCAGCAAGGCGACGTTCGGAACTACCCCGAAGACGAGCCAGGGCAGCAACGGCATGGTGGAGAGGTTCCACGCGTTCATCGAAGGGATGACGAGGACCTGGAGGAAAGCCATCGGGGGCACGTACGGGATCGTGATCGAGCTGAGGCACCCGATCATGGCATGGATCGTGCGCCACGCGTGGTGGACACACGATCGGTTCCTGGTTCGCCGCTCGGACTGCAAGACACCGTTCGAGCGCCAGAACGAAAAGCACTACGACAAGAAGGTCGTGCCTTTTGGCGAGGCGGTGACGCGGAGGCAGCCCGGGCCCATCGCGGCGAAATTCGAGACCGCCGGGGGCTACGGGATCCACATGGGCAGGTCGCGGGAGGACGACGCCCGCATCTGCGGGGCGCGCCGGGGCATCATCATGGCGAGGTCCGCGCGGAGGCTCGTGGGGGGCGAGCGCTGCGGCAAGCAGCTGCCCCTGGCCGCGCGAGGCACCCCCTCGGACCTGAAGGCCGCCAGCGCGTCGGCGCCTGTGGTGTACAGGGAGGCCCCGAACCTCAGCCTCCCGCAACCCGCTAGGCCTCCACGGCCCGAGGCGGGCACGGCGGCGCAGGTGGGGCAGCCGACAGCGGACAGACAGGAGGGTCAGTCAGCCCCGAGCCGCCCGAGCCAGACTCGCTCTGAGGCGGCGGCAGCGAGGCCGCAGGAGGGGGAGGCCATGAAGCCCGAGACGACCGTCGACGCCAACATGGACGGCATCGAGGACGACGGCCTCCAGCCCGTGGAGACGAGGCCGAGGGGGAGACCACCTACGCGAGTGCTGCCGAATCCCGATGTCGGCGGAGTTCACACCCGGGTGCAGTGGATGCGTCGGGATATCACACAGGCATTCCAACTGGCGTCTGGACAGCAGGGGGATGCCTCCTAACGCACCGCGCGGCAAGCGGGCCGCTGCGGAGGACGCCGAGCCCGTGCCCGAATCCAAGAGGGCGGCGGGAAGCGAGGGGCCACAGAGCTCGGCTGACACGAGATCCAGCGACGACAGCGGCGCGCCGGCAAGGGGCGAGGCTGCCGCCCAAGGAGAGGAGGATCGGCGTGGTGGCGATCGCCAACGCGACGGAGCTGGGCTACCCTGGTGGCACCGAGCGCCACGCCCCCTGCGAGCTCGATCCGAACTTCGAGCTGCTGGAGAAGGCCTACTGCGACGACGATGACGGCGAGCGCCTCGACCCGAACAAGGCCCACGAGGGGGTCAAGAGGGAAGC